TTTTCAAAAACTGCCAGATTGCAATTAAGGGAACTTGCTGACACCATGATGGTGTAGGCTGCATACCTGATCCATCTGTCACCAATTGGCTTCCTTCAAAGTAATCCTGAGTGAACCTATCAGTGCTTTTGGAAGACTGTAGTTAACGATTCACCAACCACAGATCAGCCCAGATCTTGAACCCTGGCTTCAGGCTGGAACAAAGTTCCATTCGGATCCATTCGGATCAACCCCGAAGCTCCGCACGACGACAGGACACAGGACACAGTCGGCATCGCCGAAGGTTACCGCTTGGCGAAGTGGTTTTGAAGTCGTTCCCGTTATGTTTCCCGTTATGTTTGGATACTCCGCAAACAAAATGTGAATTTCAATAGTCCGAAAAAAGAATCCGGCATTCAACTACCAAAGCAAGGTTTGCTGTCCTTTACCTGGAATGACTTTGTAGATCTCCGATCAGAAACGCCCATGCCATGGGAGATTCCCAGCTGATTACCTTCCCAGGTATGTTGTCAGGACATACTGTAAGAAGTCGCCAAGCCATCTTCACAACCAAGAACTGAATTTCAGCCCAACTCAGGACCAAGAGACTTGAGAGCTTCAGACAAGCCACAACTGGGCTTTCCAGCATATCTTTGTATAGTTTTTATATACTGATGTATAGTGAATCAAGAGCTGAAGAGGTTGAGTAACACCTTCTAGCACCAGCTGCCGCTGGCCAGCGTCCAGTTTAAAGTCATGATTCGAGCAGGGCCATCTGGATCACATCCCAACTTGCAGAGTTTGCAGCAAAAAATGAAGTTACACATGTTCACTGAAAATATCCTAAGCTGGAAAAAATGAAAAATATGAACATGTGGAAAACAAATGAAGCTGCCAGTTTCGTTTCGACATCCAAAGCAAAGAAACTTGAACTTGCAGATGTACAGTCATATAAAACAACCCAAGAGGCGAAAGCAATTCCCAAACAAGAAATGATGACGATGCGAATTTCAATTCCAAATGTTCCACTTTGTTTCGGGAGATTCCAGATCCAGGTGACCAAAACCCCAAGAAGTGGCACTGCGAAAAAGCGCAGTCGCCGCGGAAAAGACGAGCCAGGTCGGGGCCCACCCATCTGACACGAAATCCGGGAGGTGAAGCAGTGAAACGCCGTCACAAAAAAAGGTCCCAATAGGTCCCAGAGAGCATGGCAGTTGCATTCCCAATCTGCTGCTATTCCGACAGCTATTGCCATCTCGTAACCTTCACCCCCCAGCCTGCCAGCTTTGGCGTGCCCCTCAGTGGAAGCGATGGTGGCATTGAGACACCTGGCAGGTTGGAGCGTGTCTTTTGACTTGGCTATGTATTGAAGCCGTGGTGTTTTTTTGGTGCAACCATTGAGCAAGCATCAAGTAAGAGTAGTTACTGCCAGTTTGGCTTCCCAGATGCAAATCAGAACTCAGGCGTGCCATCTTCAGGGTATCTGTGTATGTATCAAAACTGGGTATCCTTCATATAAAATGGCTTGCCATGCAAGGCAGTTCGCGAGTGGTCGCCAGAGAGTTACATTTTGAAGCATCGTTGGCCGAATGGCCCAACTATGGCCCCAAAATGATGTCAATCCGGCAATTGGATGTCTGAAAGTCTGAAAGGATTGAAAGTGACCCCGTGTTCTGATGCCGGTCCTTGTCTTGTTTCAACACTCAGAATCCCTGGCATCACCCTGTACTCCTGCTGGGATGTTTACAGCAGTTGGTAACGTGCTTTAGCTCACCCATTCACAAAATGAGCACCAGACGATTCTGGGTACATTTCAATAATCTCCAAACCAAAAATAAGCCCATCTTGGGATGATCCCCACTTCTTTCGCCATCATGTTTTGGTTTTTGTGGTTTTTGTAGCCGCCTCAGCTGCTCAGTGAGAAGAGATCGCGCAGCTCTTGGTCATTCAGATCTGCAATCCAATCTTCACCTCCAAGAACTACCAGAAGTTTGGGTGAGCCTAGGGCCTAGCCCAAATGATAGCTGTAAGCCTTTAAGCCCACTGGGGGAATGTGGGGGGATTGCAGATATTTTGATGTTGGGATGGGGATGATCTGCCTGAAGATCCAGCTACACAAGAACCATGTTGGCCTCAGAAGGGCCAGCAAGAGGCGAGAGTTCAGATGGACATCTGCCATGGAACATCCAATATTTGGGAGGAGTTTCCAGCACGCCACGTTTGATTACCAGAGGGGAACTCTGTGTTAGGAAAAAAAAAGTGTTCAAAAACCAATCGGCTCAATCCACGCATTTTTGAGTGTTTCCCGTTCCGGGGTGGGGGGGGGCAAAAATTGCCTAAAATGAGGGACCCCAATTGATATCAATGCGATCATTTCCCTGAGGAAAGCGGTGGGTTTAGGGTATCTCTGGAAAATCCATTTGAAGCTTAGTCAAATCTCTGATAAAAATCTGACATATTCCCCCATATTATGTTGATTTATCTAGCCCCCGAACTCCCAACCCCCCGCCCAGCCAACTGCCTGGACGTACTGTGACATCCGACAGCTTTTTCTTCTCTTGCATGACGGTGTTCAATTTTTCCTCAAAGGTGTCCTCACTCTATCGCTGGCCATTTGAGCGACAATGCCAATGATGGCATTATATACAACTGGTGATATTCCACCTATATATAATTGCATACTCACCATCACGTTTCCTGAAAATTGATATATTTACTACCCCTATCAACAAGGGATGGTCACCACCTTTTCATACGAAAATAACCATGTTTCGACCATGGCATATATGCTTATTGCTTCTTACCCAGTTACTAACTCGGATGCTGCCCCAAGTATGTTTCGCAAGCACCTACCCAAGGTGCTAATTAGGCGAATAGCTATGGACAATCGGGGCATGTGGCTTCACAGCACCTCCTTCCATGGCGAATCATACAGGCAAAATCATCCAGTCTATCAACTGCAAGGTTTGTCTCATACTTCTCAATGTTTATGGATTTTTTATATGCTGGTTGTGTCCAAGAATCAGGAAACTAGAAACTCACAACAATGGTCTCCGCTCATTATTTGAAAGAAATGGTTTATCCGCAATGTTCGGACACGCTCTAGCCATTTGTAGCCAAAGTCTCAAAACCACCAAAGATGGAATAGATGATGATAGATGAACATCCCAAGATAAACAGATTCATGTCCATCCATTGGGATGTGAACCGCAGAGCAGTCCTTCGATATGAGGCGATGGACCATGACTGTGTGCTTCTGGCCGATGCGGTGTGCACGGTCGGTGGCCTGCCAATGGACAGCCAATGGAAGATGACAGTGGCTTCCCATGTGTTTTGTTCAAATGGTTTGACTTAGTGGTTTCTTAAGTAGCCACCTGAAGACTGGGTTGAGCACGCCCCAAATCAACTGGTCTAAAAAATCATTTCTACATTATTCCATGGCCGCGAATTCGGGTATATTCCAGTATGTCCCGTTTGGGGAACTTCATCTCAACACCAACGTGGATCACCTTTTCATTGGATACTGCTAATGTAACATGATACGACATTATAATACATGATATAATATAGCAACAAAGTTCGACCCGGAATTGCCATACTTGAAGGTGACATCGGTATGCGTTGTTTATAACCATACTCCAACCTTAAATCCATGTGGGCGCCATCAGGGGAGGATCATTCTGTATCTGAAGCCTAAGTGGAAAACCAACCATGCCTACGAATCTTCCCATGACTATACTGTAATCGGATTCATCTCCTATCTTCATATCATTTCATAATATTTCATATCCATCTTTTTGGTTGGTCAGTGTCAAAACAGCTTTCCTTGGCTTTGCTACATCTCGCCTAAAGATTGAAAGATATACCATCTGGTTATGACTAACAGTTTGCCATGGAAAATCACCATTTTCAATAGGTAAACCATCTATTTCTATGGGCCATCTATACCATGGCGAACTGTTAGTCATAACCAGAGGGTATTCTTGGATCCTGTCGCATCCCACCAGTCGTTGCCCTGGTCGGATTCGCATCGCCTGAGCTTCGATCGCAGGATTGTACTGGCGATCGAAGTGAATCACATGCGTGGCAGCGGTCAGCGTGAGCCCCGTACCACCGGCCTGCGCGAAAATTCTGGGATTCATCGCTGGGGGGCGCTCGGGCTCATAAAAGGGCACAGCTGGGGAAGTGAAGCGGAGAAAGACATGGCACTCGTCCACTCACATCTAAGAATTGAGACCAGTTCGTTGCATGTTACTGTACCTATCACTATCATAATCTTTATAGTCATCATGGTCATCATTGTCATCACATCATTGTCATCATCGTAATCATCCTCATCGTCGTCACGGTCGTCGTCAACATCATCATCATCATCATCATCAGCATCATAATCATCCCCACCATCACCATCACTGTCACCGTCACCGTCATCATCCACCATCCATCACCCCTCACTCATCGTTCATCATTTATGATCATTATCGATTCATCCATCATTCACAATTCATCGCCAGTCTACAGCATTGTTGTCAATTGTATCCACATCTTTGCTGGTTGCATACCGCCTTGGCTGCAGCAATTGAGCCCTTCCCGACAAGTTAGCACTGAAAATACTCAAATTTGGTACCCGTAAATTTCATGGTTGGCCATCATTTCCCCCATGAAAAATTGCCATTTTATGGCTATCCCGTGGGCAAAGCCATGAAGTGGCGTAGCTACTGGAGGATGTCCCTGGTATGGCTCTCCCTTCCGCAAACGTCTTGGAAGCACATTAAGATCAACTAGACAAAGCTCCGCTGAGAATGGAAGCAGATTCGAAGTATCTAACTTGTCAAGAGGCTTTTTGAATTAACTCTGACCTCTTTCACCTAGCATGTCAAGTGTAATTTGCCAGAGGCCCCGGTATGCTTGTGTAGTGTTCTGTCATTTCATTTGTTTTGTGCATGTCTTTTTGGATGGTGTCTTGTCTTTTTGTCAGATGCGTTGTTTTATTGTGCCGTAGAAAAGCCACTATCTTGTCAAGTAGGATGGCATCCTCAGCTAGTACCAGCCCCTGGAATGAACCAGCAAGGCTAAGGGCTAAGGGGATATTTTCACTTTGGGTCTGCTTAGGTTTTACATGTTGGGATGCGGATATTCATGGAGGACCTACAGTAAACATTTTTTTGGGAATTCGGCGATACCACACGTCTACTTATCTCTGCAAGCTCGTTCGTAATATTTGGGCTATGGGATTTGTACATTTCTCCAGCAGCGATCAAGAAAACCCAACATTGGATTCTATGTCACCATTGCGCTAGCAAAGGAAGCAACTTCCTGGCCCAGCACTTTGTACGGAGACAGCCAAAGGTCAATAGATGGTGACTGCCAAACTTGTCTATGTTACCCAAGTTAAACTGGCGTAGCTAAACCTGTGGTCATTCGAAATGATATGAGCAGTTCAACCCACTGGGTTATTTCAGGAAAGGAAAAAGGACTGCAGAATATGCTGCCCCCCGAAGTGATCTAATAAACTTCAGAATCGCATTCATTTGCCATGTGAAATGGGAATGAGAGCAACAATGACTCCTGCTCAACAGTTGATGCTTGATATGGCTTTAGGGAATCGGACTTTTGTGGTGGGAGTCTGTGATGTTTGGCAATACAGTCCCAATGGAATAAGATGATTCTACACTATTTGCCACAGTTTTGCGCAAAATTGCGACTGCCGCAACAACTTTCGGAAGGTCATGACTTACCTTTCGATTGCATTCATGACCAGCAAAGATAGAAGGCAATGGATTGAACACAAGAAGATCAGGCATGACCCGTCCAGGTTCACTTTGTGCGCAAAATGGCAGGCCAGCAACATATTGCTCAAGCAACAGATTGCTCAAGCAACATATTGCTCAAGCTGTATTCTTGGCAGTTATTTTTAGCGCTTCGCAAAGTACTCGTTTCCATTGATTGTCAATAGTGACAATGCTCTGGGAGTCTTTGAGAAGGTGACCCAAGAAGATTTTGGCTTAGGTGAATGCCATGACTTAGCAAAGTATGACTAGAAATCCTTCTTGTCGGAGCATTGGATAAGCTACTTCCCTTCGCATCTCGAGACATAAAGATTTCATAGGGAAGTCCCAGTCCGAGTCCAACAGATTCAATGTAGAATTGCCAGGGCGGCATCTCGGATGTTTCTTTTCGGGATCAACTACTGCTGATCCAACCGTAATGCGGGGTAGTGTATGTAGATGGCAATTTTTTGGCTCTGGGACTTCAGGTGTGCACGTTTTTTTTTTGATACCAATAGTCAATACGCTTTTTTACTGGGATGTGATTGGGAACTTGATCTGGGAGAGGTCAAGTTAAATTAGGATATGGTCATACTTGATGTGATGATATACGGCCTGGTAGTGAAGAAATCTGTGTTCAACAGTGTCCTGCACGTACACAGACCCCATTCATGAAGGTCGTCCACGTTCCACCTTAAACCTCCCAAAAGGGGGGGGGGTTCATCACTACTCGTAGCTATTTCACCACCATTTTCGGTGAGTCATGGAGTCGCCTTCACACTCAGAATCATCACCGGAAAGTTCTTCTCCGGGTCGTTCTGAAACTTTTCCACCGCATCCTGGCCAAAGGATTGAAAAAAGGCTGAAAATTGAGGATATGATTTAATAGATGCTATATTTTTCAGATCTATATAGATCTAATATAAACAAACCAGATCTATATATATATAGATCTATATAGATCTATGACATCAAACCAGATCTATATAGATCTAATATAGATCTATGATATGTTTAGTCGCTTCAAGTTTTGAAACCCCTTGAACCAATATCAGTCAGTTTGGACGCAAGATCGAAAATACGTTACTTTACTTGAAACCAGCAATCGGTATGATATGGTGCACAACATATATATATATATATATATGTATGCCATAGAAAATTTACTGTTGGGATTTCGGATGAGATCATTGGTCATATCATGTAATATCGTCCCCATCAAAGATATGGCTACGGATTCAACCCCATCAGTACCCTACTGTTCACATTGAAATAGCATAAAATAGCTGTTGTCCCAACATTTCAACAAGTAAAATCATAGGTGTGTTGACACACAAATATGTCCCAACCACATGTTGACATGCCTCGCGAGCACCGGCATCCCCACCGACAATCTTCAACACATCCTGCGGTAGCCAACGTCAAACCGGATCGTTGGTCTTGGTTTCCAATACATGGGATGAACCAGCCTGAACCCCCGTCATAAGTGGGCTCTTATGTGTTTATGTGTTTATAAGCATATAGTGACCCAAACAAGACTGTTTGAGTCAAACGTCAAACATCATGTCACTATGAGAATGGTACGCCATACCTCTTCTGTTTTTTTGGGGGACTGCTATACTCCAACCGAGATTCACAGAAACCGGAAACGGCTGAAATCTACACCGTCAAAACAATTTGCAGGGTATCCTCTCCTCTAAATTACCAACCTGGAACTGGAATAGTGGAACAGAAGAATCCACCATCTTTAAACAGCTGCAAGATGGTTTGTGGCGAAAAAAAATGTTCGGATATTATCAGCGTCCCGAGTATTTGCCCCAAAGGGGGTGCCGTCCAATCTTGGCGACCCCAAAAACCCATTCCTTCTAGCAGGAAATGTCATACATTCCAACCTGCTCCTTCAGGTGCTACCCGTAAGGGCTCCTTCTTGAAGTGGTTGCTGATCAAGTTCTGCAGCATGTCTATGGTGTTCAGATAGTTGCTGAAGATCAGCACCTTTTCACCTGGCGAGACTGGGACCATCTGAACTTGGGATCGATACTTAGGAGTTTTAGGGGTTTTACCACGACCTTACTTGTCATGTGTCGAATGTTGGGTATATCCTTCATCTTCACAAGATTCTTGAAAATTCGTTGGGTAAACCCTTCATCCATCTGTGTCCAATCATATCCCCATATCTGTTGCTCATCCATTACAAACTATGTGTATATATATATATACATATATATATATATACACCCAGATATCAATCAGATCTTCAAGTGTGGACAACGTGTTTTTGATGTACAATGTATTATGTGGGGGGGTTTTGAAATGGCGGTACCCATGGATACCCCCAAATCATCCAAGTCATTTTATCATTATAGTATTGAAACTCATGGTTTTGGTGATTCCCATTTTAGGAAACACCCATATATATATAATAAATATATATATATATATAATAAATATATATATATGTGATTATTATATATGTATCACATATATATATATTGTATGATTATATATGTATCACAGAATGTCCATCCCCCCAACTCTCCAACCATCCACGGTCATCCAACGCCTCGCCTCCTTCCACGATTTCCTCCAACAGCTCCATTAGGCGCTCGATTTTGCCGCTGCCCTTCGCACCGGCCTCGGAGTTCTCGATGGCGGTCAGCATGCTCTCAGGGCGGCGTGGAATGGCCACCAGCTTCGGGTGGTTGCCTGGGACCGAAAAATACCAGGTGAATGGGGTGTTAAGCACTCCAGCAAGACTCAAGCAGTTGTGCTTTTTATGTATATGTATATATATATGTGTGTGTGTGCGTTATGAATGATTTACTGATATATATATATATTCTGATATATATATATATGTTAAATATTATACGTATATATATATATATATTATGTTATATTTATATACACATGTAGTTACAATATGTCTATATGAGTGTCTGTTCTCAAACCTATGTGATATGAATCACTTCCGAATTCAAGCACATCCGCACATTCTATGATGAAACCAAAGAACCATTTACAAACCAAAGAAATTGTGAAGTTACCAACAAATCATGGTTGGATTGCCTGATTTTCCAAAACAGCTATCAAATGGAAGGATTGTCAAGTGCCGTGCAGAATCTTCAGCATCGGGGAGATAGATGAGATGGACACTGTATATGAAGGTTTTTCTGTAACGAACGCGGATGCCCAAAAAAATAAACAGGAAATTACTATGGCACCATGAATCCTCCGTTCAGAAACACATCCACGCAATAAAATCCAAAGGAAGAAACTCGGTCAATTTGTTGTCCATACGACAACTGTGGCAAAGTCCTTGAGAACGGGAAAGCCCTTCAAAAATACCATCCATGCAATAAATTAGTGGATTTTCATCCATCCAACTGTCTGACTGGAGTGATCTCTCTTATTCTCTCTCTCTCTCTCTCCCTTCTTCCAGGTTGGTGATCTCCACGTCCAATTCCGCTATTGGATTGGTAAATCCGAGTATTTATGGCCTCAAATCACCTTTTTTTGATCGTTAAATACATATGTTCTTCTGGCTAAAGTTACATATTTAGTGGTCAAATATCCATGCTTGATGCTTAAATCCAAAATCTCTATGGCCAAATCACCATCTTTCAGGCTAAATGCTCATTTCTGGTGGAAAAATTGCCGTCAATAATTTGGGATTTGACCATCGAACATGGCGATTTGACCATCAAAAAAAATGATGGTCATGGATTTTTTCATCACCGCGGTCAAATCAGTGTTTTTTTCTGGTTAAATCCATTGTTTCCATCCTTTTCTTTCTGGCGAAATTCACTGTTTGGCGGTTCAAACATGTTCAAAGCACCGTGGTTTCCTCCAAGGTTTCCACATGGGAAAAAAAAAAACTCCAAGTCACAGAGCTCCAAGAGCGCGAGAAGCATGATCAAGACCTCCGTTTCAAGTTCCATTGCAGCACAGGGGATGTAGTAAGCCATAAGCAACTTGGATAGCCATCAAAAATCAGGGGATGTTATGATATACCTAGCATCAAACATGGAGATGTGACCATGAAAAATTGAAGTATGACCATTAATTTTTGGGATTTTTTGATCATTTGCGTCCAGCGCTATGGGTATGATGATTGGGGCACATGTGGCAGGGACAAAACCTGGTTCTTTTTAGGATCAGCCATTCATTCTGGGTATTCATTCTGGACCCACAAGGGGATGGACCGGGAAAGCCAGCCACCATAGTAACTACACCACGCAATCACCAAACTATTTTGTGGCGGAGCCAATAAGTTCAACCCGAGTCGACTTGCGAAACACCCTGGACCAGGTCAAACAGAACCCACACTGCTCTAGTAGGGAAAGCCTCAACGGTTCAAGCCGTCCCAAGAATCCTTTGCCAATCGAGGCCCACACATTCCACATAGGGATGCACCACTAGAAAACCACTGAAAACTCAAAGCAAGAACCCAATGTCCATGCACTGAAGGAAACATCTGCAGTAAAACCCAACTAATTTGGTGTCTTATGTGTCTTATTCTATGAATCCTGGTGAATCCCCATGATCTTTCCATGATGTCCATGGCATCTCTCAAGGGCCTGTCCACGGCGTTGGAAGGAGTCGACCTTCAACGTGTCTTCCAGACACTTCTCTTGGATCGCCTTGTAGATCCTCGCGGCTCCCACTGCTTGTTGCTGAGACTTCGCAGAATCCGTCGAATGAACCTGACTGAAATATGATCAATCAAAATCAATCAAACATCTTTAAACATGTTTTAACATCATGACAGATCATTACAGATCATTACAGATTATGCTAAACCAGCTTGTAGAACCCAGACGAAAGGGTAACGGCCGGGTAACTCGCAGACCATGGCTGCCACTCGATGACATAGCCTCTCAGTTGGAACTTGGGGAATCCCTCCAAATTCGCAAGTGAAGTACCGGAAATTTGATATATCTGATGAACAAACATGATATGGAATAATTTCAGACAAACCCAAATGATTGCTCAGTCCTTCTCATATATTCGGTGAGGGATCCCAGACAGTAAATAAAATTATGTTTTGATCATTTTTTATCTATGTCCCTCAGCATACATTTAGGCTCAGCAGAACTGCACTAATTCCGGCTTTCTCAAGCTTCAGGGAAACGGTCGCCGCCAAAAAAAGACAGTTTTTTCGAGGGTACTTACTTCTGAGGCATTTCCAAATCTTGCACCAGTTGGAATATGCCTTCAACAAAGCAAGGACACCACAAGCATTACTTCTTCGCCATTTGCGACTCAAAAGTGGGCCTACCTATATAGGTGCCCCATTGATGGGTTGTCACTTTCAAAAACATCTTCACATAGCTCGCCCGGCCAACGTCCGGAGGTCCTTTTCTGCGTGTCCGTCAACTCACACTCTTGATCCTGCCAGGGTCCAGGATGCAGAACAGCAGATGGAGGTCAAAACCATCATGCCCTTGCTTGTGTATCCTAAGAAACGAGCACAACAGATACTCGCTTGCGTTTATCTACAAAATGTATCACAATATGTCAAATAGATTCAAATAGGTGTTTGTTCCGCTTGAATCACACCCAAAAATACATGTTCAGCTTGCAACCCAAAAGATCATCACTGCGGAGCGCCATGACGGCCATGACGGCCATGATGATCTCCTTTCAACGGAACATTTACCATGGGCTTCTCAGGCTATCACGGTACCTATGGCATCCTGTGGCATGCTGTTTCACCAACTCACCAACTCCAATTCGCACACCGTGGCGAATTTTGGAGACCTTTAGATATCCGAAAAAACGATGCAAAAGACTTTTCTCTAGCTGGGCAACCCCCCACAGTAAGGCAAAAGATGAAACAGCAAGCCACCCATGCAAGGTTTTCCCAGCCCCAATCTTCTTTTACCGAGCCTGTTCGATCTTCTCCGGCAGATCCGCCGCGATCTCCGGATCAGTCTTCAGGCGGCGCATCAGAAAGGGCTTCACCAAGCGGCGCAGGGACTCTTGACTGCAGCGTTTTTTTGGGGGAGGCGGCTTGGTGGCAAAATGGCTCCAAGGGGTAGTGCCAAAACTTGGATGGGAAAATTGAGTGCCAACATGGCAAATTGTAAGATGCCAACATGAGATTGTCAGGAAGAGACATCTCAAATTCTGTTTTTTGGATGGTGTAGGGATCTAGTGAATAGATGTGAATAGTTGGAAACTCTGAAAATAGGCACCGGAGATGGCCAAAGTCATGTGTGTATGTGGTTTCGGAAAACTTTGTCTGCCAGCACAAAATGCAGCTGGGGCCCTAACAATGATGATCCCTCTGCATCACACACCTTTCCAATTGTCAGTCCATCCCACCTAAAAACCAGTGAGATTCCTTGTTCCATCTCAATTTCTGGGGATGAAATGACTATCCCCAGCCCATGATTTCTGTTGATGGTCTCCCAAAAAATGTGGGCCACTGAAACATTCGGGATGGTCATCCGAATGGACATGAAATAGAAACTCGTGAAGACACCACTTAGAACACTTAGATATGCGCTGCTTATCCGTTTTTTTTGGTGAAATCCCCCATACCTCCATCTTTCTTGGATAGATTATGATGCCTGGAAACTTAAGGCTATCTATCTGAACCCACCCAATTCCCAACTGTTTCCCAAGGGGCACCTGGCAAGTCCAGCATGATCCTGTCCCGTCGTCGCCGTTCCCTCTGCCGCCGCGCGTGCCGCGGCCGCCTGGCCGCGCACGCTGCGGCGCACGGAGTTGGTCACGGGGCGGCCGAAGCTGCGCCTCGGAGAACCACAAAAGAGTGCGGCTACTGGCGATGGCAGTGGGATACGGTAGACAGAGAAGGATTCAACCAACAAATGCCAGAACACGAAGGCGACCGAAGCAAATCACACGTGTCGAACTTTTGCTCTATGTGAACACTCCGATTTCTGTGGTACATCGGGAGTGTTGAATGACTTGATCCACACCCACTAGAACAATGAAAACGTCTTCGAGACTTGGAGGAACAGAGCAGAACCTCAGAATTCTATGCTGGACTACCCAAGTTTCAACCAGAGCCATAGCAAACGAACAGAAAATGCGGGACGTTCTTGTGCCATTTTTCTGAGGACCCCCCCCCCTGAAGCCCTGATCACCCTGGTCCAAATCAACCCTAACAGCCGCCGGCTGAGCAGCTGAAAATCTGCTTTCGACGAAGCCAAATATCCTGAGACTGGGCAACTATCATGACACCCATGGATGGACTTGGATGTAGCTTAACCAAAAAAAAAGTTGGCATTTAGCGTAGCAAATGAATATTGATCTGAAGTACAAAAAATGACGTACCCAACAAAAAGCGGATCTAAACAACAATGACGATTCCACACACGACAAATTCATCCTCCTGTGAATTTAAGGTGAAGGCTGCGTAACCAGTTTGTGGCGAAGAAACGGTTTGCATAGCCTCAAGCTCTACTAAATGGATGTACATGCACGATCGAATTTCACTACTAAATGTGGGCCCTTTGTTCAGCTGAAGTGCAAGATTTTGATATATTTTCGAAGTCTCTTAAGCGACCAACATGACTCGACTAACATATCAATTTTACCTCTGTACTAAATGTGGATCATGGGTCTAGAGATGTTTACTTGATTTGTTTTGAAAAATCATGAAAAATCATGATTCTCTACTAAATGGTTTCTGGAAATTTCACTGTAATTTTTTGGTTCACTTTCCAGGACCCAGGTCATAGCATTTACTAGGGGAAATTCACACGGGGATACAAATTCCATGTTCATTCTTCGTCTGTATCCACGTCCATACATCACGTTAGTTTTCCACAGTTTTTGACCTTGTGTTGGCCAATCCAGCTTTCTTTCCAATCGTTTACTTTGATTGGAAGATAGAACAATATTGCAAAATTGTTAATGGCGCAATATGGCGCAATATTGCAGTGTTGCCCCCCGTATGCTTGCGTGGTCAAACTGTGGTTTTCCTTTCCAAAAAAATGTTGTTTGTTAAACCATTGGAATTGAAGATGGAAGCCAAAATGGAAATTGGGTTGCTTTACTCTCGTTTCTTTCGGCTCAATCCTCGTTCAAGCTGAATCCCCGACTCTTGCAGGCCAAATTCCCATTCTTGCACACTCACATCAGGCCATACTTTGTGCTCTGGTTGAAACCCTATGATTTCTTTGCGAAGGCGAATATGAAAGTATAATATATAAATGAAAACAATCCTGGGTTTGTGCCAAAATTTAAAATAAGGCAACCCTCTGTTGCTGATTAAACGCTCATCTCTGTTGCTCTATTCATCCTATCTTTGAGGCGGCAAACCCATATATTCCGATAATTGTTCGTATGTGAATTCTCTTCCCATTGTGGCCACTAATTCTTCTTGCATAGTATCATCCCCATCATTGCTCCGTTCTGGCACATCCCAGTTGCGAAGCGGTGACTAGTCACGGTAGTATAATACTGATACTCCAGTTGGATCCAGTTGAAGTGCTAGAGTAATGGAATATCGTACCGTGATGTACCGTGTAGTTTCTCAATCACCGACCATGCCTCGGATGCCTCCCCAGGGTCCCAGGATCCAGGCAAGATGTATTCGAACTGGCTGTGCAAATCCAGCAGCTTGTTCTCCACCGGCGTCCCACTGAGGGAAATCCGAATGGGCCCCACGTGGGTAACCTGGTGATATTTCATAAACATCGACCCCAATCTATTCGGGCAGGATTTCCTGGGTGGGTTTATTGGTGAACAAAAAAACATCTGAAAAATTTGGAGGCTTGCCGAATCTAGCTCTGTCGAAATGAATGGCCAAAATCAATCGTTGGTTTTTTTCATGAACTTATAACAAAAAGACGTTAACAACCTATATGGAAATCATGGCAGCAAGGTGAGGCAATAAGGTGAGGCCATTGGGATCCAACTCAAAGCACCGGGTTCGACCAAGCAGCACGGCCCTGGAGATCTGTGTGGTGTGGTTTTTGATCTGCTGAGCCTGAAATCTCGTGGCTATGGGGAACCAGGGAACCATAAAAACAGCCAGTGGCTATGGTAGTTTGAGCCACTCGCCGATGGTTGTTCTGCGAGCCATTGCCATGTTGGATTATGGACATTTCCTCACCATATGAAAAACACGGGGCCCGTTGTATGTAAAAACTGTGTCTGTTTAAGGGGTCCACGGACCGTACCATTGTTGGTGGTTTCAGGGATCTGGGTTCCTCCAAAGAATGAAGGATGCTCCAATTTAGCGCTTCATGTAGCCACAGTGACTAAATTTGATAAACCACTGGATGTTTGGATCATGGGACTCCATGGAACTCGTGTGAAAAGCTGCAATCCCAATGGATGGGTAATGGATGGCTAATGGTTAATGATGGTTATAACAATGGTTAATGATGGTGAAAATAGTGGTGAATGGATGGTGAATGGATAATAATGGTTAATTATGATGGTTAATGATGGTTACCCTCTGGTAAACGTTTACATAACGAACTGGAAAATCACCATGTTTAATGGGAAAATCATGGAAAATCCATGAAAATCCACTATAAATGGTCATTTTCAATAGCTATGTTAAATTACCAGACAGTAAGAAAAATGACAAATGGGGGAATTGGAAATGGTCCTACGGTTTATGGCGCCGGGTTTTCCGAAGCAGTTTCGCGGCATCCACCTTTGATGGGAGGTCATTTGAGGGCGCTATGAATTATCCAGTTTGAGTCCCATTTCTTTGCAGTTACCCAACCAAAATCGGTTTATTTGACCTGCAAAAATATTGGCTTACAAAATCTTATGAATGTATATAATTACCATATCTTAATTCGCATAGATCATCCATTTGCGGAAAAAAAAAACTGTATATTGATGCTTCTATCCCATGAGACTATCAATCACTATATCCAGTTATATCATATCTATTCACAACTTGATATCATCGGATATAGTGATATAGTTGATTGATAGTCTCATGGGATAGAACCCATATCATGGGATATAGTTGATAGTTGGGTTCCCTCCCAACTAACAGTAACTAAGAATCAACTAACAGTAGGTAATCAATTAACTAACAATCAATCAAATTGATTGATCACGATTGATCTAAGAGTAACTCACACTTTTTTCAATGGGCATATTTTTCAATGGATCCTTTTAAAGACGACCCCGTCTTAAGCCTCGCCATCCTCGCCTCGTCCAGCAACATCCCTCCAAAGGCGTTGGGGACACTCCTTGGCGCTCTTAAATTTTTGGTGACCCAGTGATCCCCATGGGATAGTTGGGATGCTATTGGATTACAACTTACGAGTTTTTTTGGGTATTCGCCAACTTATTCATTGATTCATAATTTTACAAGAAATGAATGGTTTTATATGAGTTTAAAATAGTTTAAATACTGTACTGGAATTGACCAATTGCCACATGTTGGACAACCAAGAAGAATGACAATGTTGGAATCGGGGATGCGAACAATGACCAGGGGATCAGTTTTTGCACCTTCAGGCAGCTACAATCAGCAAACATGGCTGCAAGTCCCTAGACTTGTTGCTCACAATTTCAAACTGCCTGTTCATGTCCAAAGATATCCAAAGCATGGAAACACAGCTGGATTGCCATTTGATTCAGCCCCAAAGGATCTATCTCTACGTCTTTGCAAGATAATGCATGATTCATCCGGTTGAAAAATTGTGTTTTGAAAAGGAATATCCACCCAACACATGGTGATTGCACAGTATCTGCTGATTTCCAACTGATCCCTTCATCCCATGGGTCAACGGGACTGCCGCGCGTCAAGGCAGCGACACTGCACCGGAAGGTCCCGTAGGACGTCAGGAAGACGTCGGCGGACTGCTTGGCCACGCGCGCCTCGTTTTCGTCGTTGTCATTGCACATGGGATGTAGCATGGTATCACCCCAGGTGAAAGTGATGAACCAGAGGATTGATCAAATTGATCAGTACCCATTAGTAATAGGAATTCTACAAATCATCATGGGTGATGGAATGGAGAGATGACCATAGAAATAAGGTCTTTGACCATCAAACATCAGGTGAGCAGGCCATTTTTAGCATTCGACCATCCAATTTTGGGGCCCGGTCAATTGACGCATATCCCAGGCCTTAGGTTGGGAAAATCTTCACCAGAATCCATGGAGTTTTTCGCCAATGATGGGGACTATACATAGTATAATATAGTTGATGGAGAGGATTCAGAGAATACTAGGGGGTTAGGTTCGGATTGATGGTTGTACTAGGTGGTTAGGCTTCGCCAGGAGACCTTGACAGCCTTCTTCTCGATGTACAGTTTCTTCGCGTTCTGCTTGCCATTCAAACGCCGACACTTGGGTGGCCTCGCTACAGATGCCTTCGCCACCTCCCCGAAAAAATTGGGCAGTTGAAATCATCATCCCCGAGTTAAATGGAAAATGAACAGCGTTGGAACTACCAATTAAATGTGGTTGAGTTCACAGTTCAACCAGCACTTGTGAACATGTTGCAGGGCTCCAAGAATGCCGTCCATCGAGATCCGGAAGGAGGATGAAACTCGATGAAACTCGCCATGTCCCAAATTCCTGTTGATGAAGAGGGTTAACCCAACCCGTATGTCTCACTACCAGCAGGTAACGTTGTGGTACATGATATATTCATCGTGTCCATCTAGATTTCCCCAAAAGAGCATATTCAATTGTTCATATATTCATCGGTTAAACTCAGCAATAATCCCCAGTGTTGCGGGTGATACCAGCCCCCCAGATGAGGACATCATCGCAACTTCCACCCCGTGAGTCGCTACTTGGGATGACACCATCTAACCACATCGCTGCCCTTTTCTCCCGACGTGACTGGGTCCAAACTTCCTACGTGCACTCAAAAAATACAAATGGAATGGTCATGCTTAACAGCAAACCACAGCATGTCGGGTGTGTCTTCTTGCAATTTGTGTTGTTTGAAAGCTCGTAAACCGTCCATTTCTAGTCTATAACCATCTCATAATTGCAGGGAACCCCTCATGACTTGACATTTCCCCTCAACTAAGAATTCCCAAACGATAAATAAGCCCAGTTCGGGTGGTTACCCCAACCCGAACTATCATTCCCCGGTCAGGAATCTTCATGATTGATGATTCCGTTACATCCGTGTTATATCAACTCATGTACTGTATATATTTACATATATCCCCATGTCTATGCATTCTCAGGATTGTTCCTGAGACCCCATAGCCAAAAGGGAAAAACTTGGTAAACGAAGAGGTGAAATTGCCATTTCGCTCTTCTTTTTGGTGTTATCCCATGGTGTTTAATTCTATTTGTTCGTCATTGTCCCCATATCCCCCTATGATTGTTGGAAAATCTCCCCAAGTTCACTTCCCAAGTACCATGGCTCCAAGAAACGGCGGCTGCGCGGCGGAGGCCGGGGCCATGTGAGGCAACACCTGCCGCTGAGGGCCAACATAGATATGGAGGCGCAGCTCATCGCCTGCCTCGGAGGCGTGGTCACAGGCTTGACCTCCCGGTCAAATTCACCTTAGATGGGGAAATAGACATGTTAAATATAATAATACATGGAAAACCGTATGGACAATTTTCCCTGTCGGTTTTACCCGTAACGGACGTTTTTTTTGTTGAATTGCGTATTTTGGTTTTTGATTGTGAAGGGTTGTTCAAATCCTTTGACAACACCGGGTTCGGACATCCTCCGACAGTTTCCAGAAGAGGAATTTCAGTCCGAAGTGGAGCAAATTGGGAGTCGTGATCGGGCACCCAAATCTGGCCACAAATACTTCCATATTTCCCACCAAATTTGGATGTACCCATAAAATACCAGTATTTTTTCAACATCATGTTGAAAACAAACAGTAAGCAAATGTCAACATACTGCCCCAAATACTGTCTCTAGACGAGACACTCATACTGTCGGAATCATTCCGACAAATCCAAGAGTTCAGGAAAACTATTGACCTGTAAGTAGAGGGTTTGCAGCCGGACATGGCCGTATTTGGAAAAAAAACGTAACGGACAAAAAAAATGTCCAAACCCGTACGGACAGAAAAAATTGTTTATGGTTTTCCAGGTATATATATATGTGTAAAGGATTATAAAGGTAGGTTCTGGTGGGGGGTTGACCATCTAATGTATATTATATATATATATATATACATACATACATATACACATAACTCACACATCAACACATAGATGTGGAAAGCAACAAGCCACCGCAGCTTTCTCTTTCTCCGAAGTCACCCATCGCTTCAGCTCCTTCTTCCAGGTGCCCAGCAGCCCTGTCGCTCGCGATTAAAAAAAGTTACTGTTGAATTCATATTGGTATGGATCAATACCTATTATATAATACCATTTTTAGGGGAATGAACATCCATTTACCAGCTATTTTGATGTTCACCAGGGGTACAAGGTTTTGACACACTGCCATATAACCATAAGGAACCATAGAATGTGAAGAATGGTGAAAAAAATCTGGTTGAACCATCAGAATTTCATTGGATTCATTTTCGGAAACTCGATCATCAACAACGACCCAAAATGGTCCCAATGGTCCCATTTACCGTGGGGATTGTTTATAGGTTGGTTTGCTGTATTAGTTCAATTGGGTCTGTTTGAAAATGGGGTATACATTTTTCCAGTTAGTAAATGATGTTTTTCAACATCCCATTTTGGGGTACCACATTTTCGGACAAAACCAGTTTTTTCCAGCGCCACTGGTTTCAATGTGAGAAAGATTTGTGTGAATTGGGATCATCATCCTAGGATTCTCCATGAGAAAGCAATTTTGAAAAACATTCCACTGGTTCCGCATCGTGCCAATTCCCATCAGCTTCTCATCTCCATCAACTTTGTCCCGGGGAGAACCGGAAGCGCCACTTTGAAAAATGCTGGAATTTCAAGGAATTTCCTGCAGTTTTTTTCCTTTTAAGCCACAAAACCCATCTGGGCAAATCTTAGAGACCCTTCACATAAAGGAATAGCTGGCTAGTAAATATGCCCATCAACATGGCCAAAAACTGAAGTTCTACACCTTTCAGCAGTCGATTTATCCATAGTTTAATGGCTAAACTCATATATTTGCTGGTTGAATCCGCATAATTAATTAAATACCACCCAAACCATCTAAATATACATATAATTACATGTGTATATATATATATAATATATGTATATATAGCGATTGTCTACCACTATGTTTGATGCTCCCATATTTATCCAAGATGTTCTGGAACAATTCCTATCTGTGTGGGTCGACCCAGTACATCCTTAGGAATCCTTCACCAGCCTTTGGGCACCACCACCAACATGGGTTTGTTGAGCATGCCGTGCTGCTTCATGTACAGCATCATGGCAATGGCCTGGCATTTCCGGCCTTGAACCTCTAGGGCTAGACGGTAGACTGTGGGATGAACATATCCTCTACATAGATCAGAAGAAAAGGGAAAACGTTGATACTTGGGATTTTTGGTTGATATTCTTCTGCCACGTGTGATAATTTACATTCCCCAAGTACTTCATGCGTCAATCACCGAGATCAGCTGCTCATTTCTTGAGCATGTGTCATGACATGGCGCCGTGTGAAATCCAGCGAGCTGCTACTGCTACTGCTACTCCACAACGAATGGGTCGCTGGCGAATGGAATTTATAAATGCCACACCTAGCATTAGTTAAATCATGTTAAATCCATGATATCTATAGTACTTGTAATTCTGATTTTGGAGGGTATACCCCATTGGAGAAAATGATGTTCAAAACCCCTGGATGTTTATTTAGGGGGAGCCCATGTTTGGGTGAACCTTCACTCCTTCACTTCTTTTTCAGTGAAGACAAGCCGGTTGGGAGAGTTTCGAGCATCAAAATCCTTCTAAACTGCGGACACGCCAAACCCATCAAAATCCTCTTGTTGTGAAGGGGAATCCGATTTTGGGCATCTCGGTCTTGAGCCTGGTCACCATGTTTGAGGATAAAAATCTGGTAATTAGATATGATGGCAACCCCGCCTTCATAAGCCACTGGGCTGTTCAATTCGGGTACCACTCAAGTAGCAAGTATCACTATTTGGGTGGACCTTACCAAACAACCAAAGTATACTGATCCGGGGCTGACATTAGATGATTTACCATATTTACCCTCTGGTAATTTAACATAGCTATTGAAAATGGCCATAGAAATAGTGAGTTTTCCCATTAAAAATTGTGATTTTCCATAGTTATGTTGGTTTACCATATTTACCCATCAAAAAGCGTCATCTCCTGCCTTATTTTCCCATGTGGATTTACTGCAGGCGAACCTGCAAGGTCTTCCCGAGGCCCATGTCATCGGCCAAAATGCAGCCCAAACCATTCCGGGCGTTGTTCACCAGCCAGTGATAACCTTGGCGATCAAAGGTGACCATGATGGGATGGTTTGTAGCATCCATTGATGACGATCTTGGGATATTCTTGGCTTTACCACATTATAATGGTTGACGTGGCGATGTTTTCGTAGGAAAGAATCAGGTGGCATCTCCAATGTACGCTGTTGATCTCGAGAATCTCAGTTCGCAGCATGGGTTTTGGATACGATGCGTTATGAAGAATTGGCAAAGAAATGTGCAGACCGATACCACCAATTCAACACTCCATGTTTGCTGTTTAAATCGCCTTACATCTCCCAAAGGTTGAATCTCGCCACTTATTCCCAAGTTTCGTCCAGAAAAAACAAATCTCAGACCTCCCGGAAAGAGGGTTTTATTGCAAACCCCAGAAAACCGATTCCCAGATTGAGCCCAGACAACCGGAAAGTTGGAACGGCCGCAGCACATCTTTGAGCTGTTCAGGGGGTGGCACCTGCAGCATACCCACAGAAGGAGAGCAACTTTTTAGCCGGGTACCTCCGCAAAGTATATGTCAAATCATATTAATCCAGGGGCTGGCAACCTACCCATACGAGCTTGGAGCAAAACTCTGAAAATGCACCAGTTCGGCAGTTCATGGGTCCCTCCATTTTTGAGCCATGCAAGTGATGCTTACTGCGTATTTACCCCATATTTGCAGGGCCATGCCAGCTGCTAAGCAGGCTGATCACCCTGCGGTCAACAAATCCCAAGTGGTGGTTATCCTATGTCATCAGATGTTATAACTTGGTGTCCTACCACACGAAACCATGATCACTTACAGACAAAAATAAGGCACCACACGAGAAAAAGAGGTTAAGAACACCATTTTCCCAGTCAAGGTGGTCACAAATGGGGGTATCGACCATGGCTTGAGACAAACCCATTGTGACTGTCTAGGGCTTTGACAAGGAAAAAAATGATACGTAACAAAAAATGGATTATCGCATTTTATCAAGATTCCTGAGACAACCTAAAATTGGATTTGAACCAACAAAACTGGATTCGAATCAGAGCAAGTCACTGATCTCCCCGGCAAAAATCCGAACTTGGCTCTGGATTATCCCCCTTTAAATTAAAGCCTATTTCTAGATGATTTTCCCACTACAACATTAAAACTCCATGCTACTCCAGTTGCCTAGTTACCGGTAGATGTTGATCTTTCCTGGCAAATCCCCCATGTTTGATGCTTAAATCTCCCCATGGAACTCCCGACCTCCTTGACGCGGATCAATCCGATCTCCGGTCCCTGGTAGAACTCCTCCACCGCAGCATCCAAGACCACTCCAGGCTGAGCACCGACGGCGGCCTCGCGGTGTAACATGGGGGTTGTTACCCTCTGGTTATGTCAAAATAGCTATTGAAAATTGCTAGAAATAGTGGATTTACCCATTGAAAATGGTGATTTTCCAGTTCGTTATGTAAACGTTTACCAGAGGGTAAGCCAAAAGATGGAGAAATAGGGGGGGTCGAAGGTGGTTTAAGCCAGGTGATGAAATTATAACATGATAAAATATGATAAAATGACCAAAAAGTTGGAGTTCACCGGCTAAAATGGGATGGTTGAAGCCCGACCCATAGTTATGGGATAGTTTAATTTCAGGATGGATAAAATAGGTTAAAATAAAATGATGTAATCGTGAGGTGCCTTCTCAGTCTTGGGCGCGGTGACAATCTATCTTCCGACTACTTCGTGTCCAATCAACATTTGAAACAGAACTCGATGACCACCCCCCCGCTGGGTAAATGGGGCTCACTCTTTCGTGCACGAGTTCCTGCGAAAAATGACCAAGTCCATGTGAGGCTTTCGGGGTCCAGAAACTGTGTCATTTTGTCATATCACCACCGTAATCCCAGGTCTTTTTGTTTGTGTCTTCAGTGCTGGTTGTACCCCAATGTTTGTTGAATTAGTCGACCGGATGAATCCTCGTTGGTGCCTTGTCAAGGCACTTCTCCCGTGTAGGTTGACCCGACAACCCTGATACGGACCATCCGGTAAGAATAAAGGGCCCCTCATGACTTGACACCGGGTTTGAGTTCCACGTCTTTCAGCGCAAACCTTGAGGAGCGCAAAGGCATGCATCGGCTCTGGCCCGGGTGCGTTCTTCCTTTGGTGCTTCAGGACCCTTGGCGTTGGCGTTGGCGCTGTGCGATGGTATATGGACTCAACTGACCAACAAAGTGGTCCTGGAGTCCTTTTCAATAGGAGTCAAAAAGGGTGAGTCTGCATAGAGTCTATACCATTCTATACTCCCAGCTTGCAAATGCTGGTCTCAAACCATTGATTGTAGGACGCACAAATCATCACAAACCAACGGTCATCAATATTGTCCTTCTGGGAAAAATAGAGGGGACAGTCTGGGATACCATTTACTGTAGCATCATTGACGGGGGGACCGGACCCCTCTGTTAATTAATCAACCAACCTATACCCCAAAATCCAGTTGACAATCATCATAGTCCCTTTGAAATGCCTATCCTTGGGGGATTTTAATCCCATTTTCAGGTCCAAATCAGGTCGCAATGGTCACCTCTCAACACCGAAATCCTCCACTATGACTAGCTGCTGCTTAGCCGTCTGTCGCGCCAAGGAGAGGTATGCGCCCTTGCGTGGCTTTGCCCCCACACAGCGGTTGAGCTTCTGCCCTGGGCCGGAGGATCAGGACGGAATATGAACGTGACATATCAGACATACCATGGATCAAAATTTCAACGGCCAAGAGTCCAAGAGAACAAGAGAAAGAGACAAGTGCCGAAAGGTTTCTTGAAATGACAAATGGGTCTCAGGCCCATAGAAAAAAATAAAACATATCTTGACTTCTTGCACATTCCAGCCAAATTCTAAACCCCAAACATGGTTTGCGGCCATAAATGTCCGTTTTCTCTTATGGCAATGACAAAAATCATTGTTTTTTTGGGGATGGTCATATTCTCACCTTGAACTACCACCGTCCGGACACCGTCCGCAATGTCGTGTGCCTTTGGCAGAGATGATGTTGGGTCCAGGGCATCCGGAGGCAACGACCTGCTGCATCGGTGACCCCTTTTTTGTGGACAAATCTAGATGGAACAAATCAAAAGCATACACAATAAATAAGTGTGTGCACATATATATTTATATACATAGTTGTATACAAACTGTATATACATCTGGTGTATATACGTGTATGTGTATATATATATATATATGTATATTATAAATATATACACATACTACATTTCTCAACCAAGAAGTTGGAGGGTTTGATGCAATGGACATCTGTGCACATCCCAACATCTGACTTCAACTGATCCACAACTGGCATGTCGTTGTCTAATGTTGTCATCCCAAAGGGACAAAAACCAATGTTTCTTTGAAACCACCAAGTACCCTCTGGTAAACGTTTACATAACTATGGAAAACCACAATTATCAATGGGAAAATCCACTATTTCTATGGCAATTTTCAATAGCTATGTTAAATTACCAGAGGGTAGTCATGTTTGCCCATTGGCAGAATGATCAAAATGCTGATGACCCAAATCTGTTGCTCCGGTTGGATTTCCTGTTGGCTGTCTCCGATAATTTTGGGCAAAAGTTTGATTGGTAAAATTCCCTATCTGCACTGGCAAGACCCGACCCCCTTTTTTTTGTGTGCTTTTCTGTTGCCAAAATTCCTGCTCCTTGCTGGTAAAAGTGCTATGGCTGGTTAACAAGTTACTACTGGTCCCAAAAGAAAATGTCAACAAGTCAACCAGAGTATCCCATTTTTGGGGTTTTGTTTTACATCATATTAAAACCATTTGGGCTTTGCTTTACATCATCCTAAATAGGGCTATACGGTATACTGTATATACCCAATTTCATCAAGCTCTACTGGGGATGGTAAAAATGGCATTGTGGGAATGCCACATTCTGCAGTCCAAAAAAAAATCCATACATCTTATTAGGAGGTTATCAAGTAGCATACGTGGACATAATAATATTAACTATTATGATATATATATATATATATTAGTTATTATTGGTTTTACCCCATTACTTGATATGTCTGTACCCAAAAAATCCTATGGTTGATGATCATCTTTCAAATTTATAGTATGATGAGTAATTTAGACAAACCCATACATACATCAACCAGCTCCCGGCCGAGTGTCAGATCGCGCCATGCCCTTCACATCCTCCAGGCTTAGAATCACCGGCCTTTCCACGATGCTTTATGATCATTTTAAAAAATAAAAAAAGAACAAGATGGGAATTGTAAGGCTAGGGCTTAAAATGCCCTTGAAAATTTCTTGGTATACTAGCCATGGCTTTGAAGATCAATGTTAAATTACAATTTTGGTGTCTGAAAATGGTGGTTAGTATACCCCAAGATTGTGATTTAACATTGATGTTCAAAGCCATGGGAATTGAAGTCCCTATTTTCAGAGGGTGTATGCCTATTTTCAGACAAATCTAAATGGTGATAAAACATATTTATCATGAAGTTTCATCAAGCAAAATGGTCGTTAAACCAACCATCGATGGAATTCCATCAAGCGAAATGTGGATAGTTCCCCCCAATAATGATCAATAATGTAAGGATGGACATGGAAACCTTAATTTCGGTATATTCGTGTTTGCACCCGCAACATCGGAAACCTTCAGGATCTGAAAGCATCCAAGCTTTGGTCAGACATCAATTCGCCATTGCCATGTCCGAAAAATCCACCCAGAAGTTCTCAAGTTTGGATCACAACCGTGGCCGAGTAAGGCGACAAAATTAAATGCGGAGCCTCCAAGCTTTTCCTAGCACAGTGAGATACTCGGGTCAGTCGGACTGCTTAGAGGCTTAGAGTTAGCCCATTTCTTGGAAATCCATGGAAATCCAACACGTCTGTTGTTTCAAGCTTTCCACATTTCAATACATTTCACCTATACCCACCGAAATTCTCACGTCTTGAACTCAAAACCACTCCAAAATGTGCTTCAAACATCTCAACAATTTACCTCATTGGTATATGTTTCCTTGTCCCCATGATTTCCCATATGTTTTTCCATATATGTTTTCCATCGTCCACATTCCCCAAGCGCTTCCCCATCGGATATATCGGATACGCGGATCGCGCCTTTCCTGTGGCACCTCGGCACAAACCACCCAGCGCAGTTCCACGAAGTTGGCGATGTCGCGCCAGGCGCTGGGGCGGGACTTGCCTGGGACCCGCAGGAATCGAGGTCCCAGAACTGCGGAAACCGGAAATTCCAAACCCGAAATCCAGGAACTGGAGCTGGAACTATGAAATTTCTATAGTCAATGGGTTTTATAAACCCATATATACCCAGAACTGGAACTGGAACTATGAAACACCGCAAATGGGATTGTAGTGCGATTGTAATGGGATTGATTGAAGGATCGATGATCTACCAACTGGTGCAGGATTTCGCAACCATTCACAGTAGCTGGGAAAAACCCTCGAACTCAATGAGAGGTTTATGGCGATTTTCCAGCAAGCCATGTTTGATTATCCGCAAAAGGATGCAAAAGGTTAGAAAAGGTTCAATTTGCCACTGTTAAAAGGATATAGAACTGGTTTGCATTACAGCGACTTTACTAGGACTTGATTTTGCGATCTTTTTCTGAGTTGAATTCATAGAGAATTGTCGAATTCACCAGCTGGAGGGGAGAGTCTTTAGATGGAAGAGATCATCAAAATGATCAGGAATCAATGTTCTACTTTTTTGTGGACCGTTTTAGAGTAAGTCCAAATGGAAAAGTTCGAAACAAAGTTCCACAGTAAAGATCATCCATGTCCTGGACTTTGTTTCTATCTGGGACCGGGGGGACCCTTTTTTAAGCAACAAATGGTCTATTCTATCCTGGAGTTTGTTTCTATATATCTTTTGGGTGGACCCTTATAAACGACAAATGGTCTATCTAATAGGAAGTATTGAAAATATGATACTACTATGGTTCTTTAGTCTGAATTGATGGGGTTAGATCAAATATATTGACAAGGCGTATCAGCACAAAACTGGTAGGGTTTAAGTACTGAAAGCTATTTAACTCTTGAAGTTTCAATGGGTCAAACAGTTTCAATTCATGGTGTCAACTGATGGTCTCAAATCATTGGCGAAAAAATAGGGGAATCCAAAAAAGGTGGTGCCTCAAAATTGGAGATACCCAATTTTTTTGTCAATGTCTTCATGAGGAATTTTGGCGGATCCCCAGCTGTTGGAAAAAATCAGGGGCCAGCAATGCAGCTATACACTGTGTGTGTCCAACAAAACCAACAAGAAAATAGGAAGTGACTGTATAGCTACAAAATGGTGGTTGTTACAAAGCAACCAAAATATTTAAGCGATTGGACCAACAAATCTTACCTTCAACAGTGAATCAGCATTGTGGGATTTAAGCAACAACGGATATTCAAGCAGTCAAAGATGGATCTTCCAACTTAAACATGGGGCTCCAGGATTCCAAACCCAGGCCCCCAAAGCAAAAAGTGCCCCTTGCTATGAAACCCAAGACACAATAGACCTGCATCCCAGTGAGTACCTAACCTTAAGATATCTATAGAATTCTATAGATATCTTGAATATCCCATGTTTTTTTGGTTCTTTTTTTGTTCGAAAACATGGCCAAATTCCGTGGTGATTCCCCACGACCAACTGGGATTCAAGGCCCTGCCTCGCTTGAAGGATACCAAGGTTTGCACCTTCAAAGTGCTGCTGTGCTTCACCTTGTTCAGCGCCTCACGTTTTGCAGCGTTTTGCAACGGGATCCAATGACACCGGGGGACGCGTTTGTGATGATTACTTTAGTTGGTAGGAAATAGAATACTCACTGAATATTCAGCTAAACAGCTATGGAAAGAGCGAAGACGAATGTTTTGAACTGGTTATCACAGCCCACCAAGCTATCACAGATACTGTTCCAGCTACTGCAGATAGGGTCATTCCGAGTCATTCCACTTGTGGTCATTCCTGAGGATGGTTACAAATTGGAAGCCACACATCGTTGGGATACCCGATTATAGCAAGTTCAGAGGTTTTTTCAACCGTAATCAATGTTGCCCTAGGGTAAAGTAACATAGATGTGGAAACCCAATGGCTTCCTGAGGAAATGTTGATCTACAAATATATTATAATATATGGTGTTTTCCACATCTATGCTAGTAAACTAAGGGGGGTACCATCTACTTGGCAAGTGGGATGATGTTGTACGTCTGACCTGCACGGATGTACTGTAATGTAATGCAATGCACTACAATGAAGCCTTGTATCATCTTATGTTACGTTGCGTTGTGTTCTGTTATGTGTTCCTGATTTAGGGGAACTGAATAACTTGAAAATGATTTTGACCCAAATAAATCTGTTACAAGTCTGCATCCACGTGGTTGTTCCTTCTACTTTTGGAAGTAAGCACCAAACATCTCAACAAGCAGACAATCACCATACTTACCCAGCTTAAAACCATGTGCGATGCTTGTGTTGAGGTGATTGTGACTTGTTACATCCGACTATAGCTCACTATTTCACCACTATATCCCCTTTTGTTGGTCATATCTTTCAGTTTTGCCTGTATGATGTTGAAAAAACATCATGATTATCCGCCGACCCCGGCCTTGGCCAAGGCAGGGGCGGCGCCTGGGACCACCGCAGGTGTGGAACTTCTCCTTCTTCGCTTTCCACGGTCAAACCCATCTTGCAGCCATCAAGCTACATCAATAGCTTCTTATGGCCACTCTTGCAGGCAACAGGCACCCCAGCCAACATGCACCCCAGGGCCACACATCAATGGCTTCTTATGGGCGTCCAAGTCTGCCCTTTGCTTCTTATGGGCGTCCAAGTCTGCCGTTTGCCAGCCCTAAAACCCTCCAAACCCTTAAAACGCTCCAAACCCTCCAAACCCTTAAAACCCTCCAAACCCTTAAAAACCGTCAAACCCTTAAAACGTTGACTTGGCATGCTTCATCCTGCAGCCAACAGCCACCCCGCGCCACACATCAATGGCTTCTTATGGCCACTCTTGCAGCCATCCGGTTCTTATGGCCACTCTTGCAGGCAACTCTTGCAGGCAACAGGCACCCCAGCCAACATGCACCCCAGGGCCACACATCAATGGCTTCTTCTGGGCGTCCAAGTCTGCCCTTTGCCAGCCCTAAAACCCTCCAAACGCTCCAAACCCTCCAAACCCTTAAAACCCTCCAAACCCTTAAAAACCGTCAAACCCTTAAAACGTTGACTTGGCATGCTTCATCCTGCAACCAACAGCCACCCCGCGCCACACATCAATGGCTTCTTATGGCCACTCTTGCAGCTAACCGGCACCCCAGGGCCACACATCAATGGCTTCTTATGGGCGTCCAAGTCTGCCCTTTGCCAGCCCTAGAACCCTCCAAACGCTCCAAACCCTCCAAACCCTTAAAACCCTCCAAACCCTTAAAAACCGTAAAACCCTTAAAACGTTGCCTTGGCATGCTTCATCCTGCAACCAACAGCCACCCCGCGCCACACATCAATGGCTTCTTATGGCCACTCTTTCAGCTAACCGGCACCCCAGGGCCACACATCAATGGCTTCTTATGGGCGTCCAAGTCTGCCCTTTGCCAGCCCTAAAACCCTCCAAACGCTCCAAACCCTCCAAACCCTTAAAACCCTCCAAACCCTTAAAAACCGTAAAACCCTTAAAACGTTGACTTGGCATGCTTCATCCTGCAACCAACAGCCACCCCGCGCCACACATCAATGGCTTCTTATGGCCACTCTTGCAGCTAACCGGCACCCCAGGGCCACACATCAATGGCTTCTATGGGCGTCCAAGTCTGCCGTTTGCCAGCCCAAAACCCTCCAACCGCTCCAAAACCCTCCAAACCCTTACAAACCTCCAAACCCTCCGTTAGTAAAACTTAAAACGTTGCCTTGGGCATTTGCTCATCCTTCAACCAACAGCCACCAGCGCCACACATCAAATGGCTTCTTATGGGCCACTCTTGCAAGCTATGCCTTCATCCTGCAAAAACCCAAACAGCCACCCCGCGCCACCACATCAATGCTTATTAGGCCACTCTTGCAGCTAACCGGCCAACCCCCCCCAGGGCCACCACATCACATGGCTTCTTATGGGCGTCCATGAGTCTGCCCTTTGCCAGCCCTAAAACCCTCCAAACGCTCCCAAACCCTCAAACCCTTACAACCTCCAAACCCTTAAAAAACCGTAAAACCCTTAAAACGTTGCATTGGCATGCTTAATACTGCAACCAACAGCCCCGCGCCACAACATTTCAATGGCTTCTTATGGCCACTCTTGCAGCTAACCGGCACCCCAGGGCCAAACATCAAATGGCTTCTTATGGGCGTCCAAGTCTGCCCTTTGGCCCGCCCCCTAAAACCTCCAAACGCCTTCCAAACCTCCAAAATACCCTTAAACCCTCCAAACCTTAAAAAACCGTAAAACCCTTAAAACGTTGCCTTGGCATGCTTCATCTGCAACCCAACAGCACCCTCCGCGCCACACAATCAATGGCTTCTTATGGCCAGCTCTTCAGTAACCGGCACCCCAGGGCCACACATCAATGGCTTCTTATGGGCGTCCAAGTCTGCCCTTTGCCAGCCCTAAAACCCTCCAAACGCTCCAAACCCTCCAAACCCTTAAAAACCTCCAAACCCTTAAAAACCGTAAAGCCCTTAAAACGTTGCCTTGGCATGCTTCATCCTGCAACCAACAGCCACCCCGCGCCACACATCAATGGCTTCTCATGGCCACTCTTGCAGCTAACCGGCACCCCAGGGCCACACATCAATGGCTTCTTATGGGCGTCCAAGTCTGCCCTTTGCCAGCCCTAAAACCCTCCAAACGCTCCAAACCCTCCAAACCCTTAAAACCCTCCAAACCCTTAAAAACCGTAAAACCCTTAAAACGTTGCCTTGGCACGCTTCATCCTGCAACCAACAGCCACCCCGCGCCACACATCAATGGCTTCTTATGGCCACTCTTGCAGCCAACCGGCACCCCAGGGCCACACATCAATGGCTTCTTATGGGCGTCCAAGTCTGCCGTTTGCCAGCCCTAAAACCCTCCAAACCCTTAAAACGCTCCAAACCCTCCAAACCCTTAAAACCCTCCCAACCCTTAAAAACCGTAAAACCCTTAAAACGTTGACTTGGCATGCTTCATCCTGCAGCCAACAGCCACCCCGCGCCACACATCCATGGCTTCTTATGGGCGAATGGAATGCATGTAATGTACTATATATATATACATACGTATGTTTAACAATGTTTAGGCCTAGCCGTTTGCTGGGCTTCTTGAGTGGCTCTATGTCTGCGCACTTCTTCCTCCACCCTTGAAACGGGGTCGGCGGCACCAGGGCGTTAGCCCATTTATAACTATTTATAACTATTCACCATATGGTCAAGTTGCATCCCACTATGAGTCACCACTATATCCCACAACCGTCCATGCCCCTGCACCTTGTTGGCGTCGTCAAAGGCCTTTTGCTTGTCAAAGAAGGCGGCGTGGAGAGCCAACACCCTCGGCCGCCGGTCAAGATGCATGGCGAGGAAGTGGCGTGTAAAGCCCCTCACAGCTGGGATGTGTGTGTGTATATATATATGTATATATATACACGAATATATACCAATATGGATATGCATGTGCAAAAAAGGATGTGTATATATATATATATATTATAGATAGATATATATATATATATATGCAATACAATAGGATACTTAAAATAAATATATGTCTCGATTTATGCATATCCACAGGGGGCTAAAAATCCCAAGCCGGCCCGGCTCGACTATATGGATCGTCCCAAAAGACCCTGTTTTTCATCTGCTGGTAGATCATGATCTCCGAAACGTTCATTCAGGTAGATTATCATAGATTATATAATATTGTCTATAAAAGATATGCAACTATATCTATAATATAGATATATATATATATAATATAGTTGCTAATTTATGGTAGATCATAATTGTTAGGTAGATTATCATTAGTTTCCCTGAAAAAAACGTTCATTATCAATCTGGTAGATCATTGATTGCCTGATCAAAAATGTGATATCGCCGATCCATTCAGTTAGGACAAGCGCATTGCTAACCATCACTGGAAAATTTGGGGCATTGCTCGACTCGACACAACCTCTTCAATGTGGCATCTGGACTTTGGCAACTCTGTTGATATCTGTTGATATCTGTTGATCATGTGATGTGAGGCGATTTTGGTCGAACTTGGGCGTCCAATTGGGTCATGTCCAGTCAGCAAGGCATGGCTTTGCCGGAGCAATCATTTCTGGTTGTTGAGCCACACTACTGAAAAACTGAAAAATGTATTCATCAGATTGATTTCTTTACAAAATGGAGTGGGGGAAAAAAAACGACCAGCCATAGCTATTCTCAGAAGATCTTCTGTCAAGGTACACCTTCGTAGCACTCTCTTCCTCAGCTTCTGCCTCCGGCAGTGTCTTTTCCAACTTCTCGAGAGAACCTCAGAATCTGTTTGTAGCACGACTCAATGACCTTCCCACGAATCAGAAGGGCCTTAAACGATGTTTGGATGACCATACCCCAAATCCCGTAGCACAGCTTGGGGCATGCCCCCGCCAGTGGCGAGGTGGGATCCCAGAAAAAGTATGGAAAAGTGGCAGTGACAATAGAGATCAAATACCGCTTGGTAAATAGACATCCACTGGTTGGTGGTGCAATGTGCCCATCTTGAAAAATGATGGAAAACTCGTCAATGGGTTTTGGATGACATCCCTTTATTATGAAATGGAAAAACAAAAAAAAATGTTCCAAACCACCAATCAGTCCAGTTAATGATGGCTTAGTCCTGCAGTCAGAATCCCAGCTAGCTGACCATAACCGGAACACGAATGGGCTATTTCGAATGGCTACCCGGCGACCCTTGGGAAAGTGCAGTGAAGCAAGCGGCTTTTGGCCTCTTCTTCGCAATGGGACCACCAAGCCTGGTGCTGATGGCTGAGGCAAAAACTGTGCCCATGGCTTTTTTTGGCACCCAAAAGAAATGGCATTGGAAGATTTTAGAATGCCAATTAACCTAGGAACATTGAGTAATAATTTGATGATCAGCGATTTTGGGCTTATTTTCACAAAAGTGTCAGAAGAACCCAATTATCATTGTAGAGAGTGGCCAATGATCATTGTACTGGACTCCGCGAACCAAGCGAAAACCACTGCGCCAACCCTCCACAAGCTCTTTGCGAAGATTGGTCAAACCAGTCTGGCTGAATTCATAGTAGTTCAGCAGCCCAAAATGAGGAAAAATTGGGATGATTCCGTGGGTAGTCCATAGTAAACTGTCATTCATCGTGACGGCTGGCGAGGTCGCCATGACCCAATTCCATCCAATTCCTACCTTCTCACTCATGAGTTCGCGGTCTTCGACACTTAGAACGTCACTTTGACCTTGAAAGGCCACCTGGGCTGGAAAGTGTCGTGCATGGCTACGAGAGGGAGCTGAATCTGTTACAGAAGTAGTAGAACCCAATCAATAAGCACCATTTCTAAGCTATTGTCCCATTCCTTGAGGTGGAATTCCCATCTGTGTTGCTTCACTCATTTGTCAATAGTCTATGTTCTGCTGGCCAAAAATGTGGAAAATCATCGATGGATCAACTAACAACTGCTCACTTGAACCTTCACGCTTTCTAGTGCCGCGATGCAAATGGAGGCCAATAAATTATCATAAATGCCTCATTTTCTCAGGATTTCTCATCCCAGTTGACACTGGGCTGTGGTTTTTCGCGCAAAGAAAAACCGCCCAGTTGCCATATACATCTCGACGCCAGTCGTTCTCATTGCCGACCTGATCTGTCCTGCCGAGCCATGAGAGATTACTATCTCTGGTTCTGGTTGCCACCCCCTTTATTAGTAGAGATCATCTCAAACAGACCAGACCTCAAGGTGCCTAAGACAGGGACAAGCCCAATGAAAAAAAAAGCCTTCCTAAGACAGGGACAATTTTTGTAGGCTGAATAGATTCGAATAGATTCGACCCATCTATTGGAGTCGCCACCCCCTCGAGACTTTCACCGATTTCCAACAGTGCTTCAGTCTTGGCCCTGCAGCTTCTGACTGCCTGAAAATGTTGCCAAAAGGAAACCATCATCTCAGAAAATAAGTTCCTTCAACCAAAAGCGTGAGGTCGCTGAAATTTGGTCTTAGCCTGTTTTTGGGTCTTACAGGCACTCTTGCCGATATGTCCCCTTAAAATTCTTGGCTAAGCTGCACTCAAGCTGCACCTCCTAATCTGAGGATTTTGAGATGTGAAAAGGTGCCAATTCTGATTCCATGTGGGGGGTCACTCTGACGCTGCAGACGCTGCAGTGCTCCAAAACTGAGACTGGGGAGATTCATCTCAATTTTTCTTCACGAGAATTTTGAAGTCTTTGGCTACGGAAACCAAAAATGCCAAACGGTTGGGTCTCATCACTCTGAGTCAGGGTTTTGACTTCTTAACATATCCCAACCATCAGCCAACCCAAACACTGCTAGTTTTCAGTCCTAGGCCCCAGCGCGCATGGCGAACATTGATACCCACCCCGAAGCGATGCGTCGGCATCTGCACCTTCTCCGGTCATCCAATTCTGGGATCCACCAAAACAATACCCTCTGGTTATGTCAAAATAGCTATTGAAAATTGCCATAGAAATAGTGAGTTTTCCCATTGAAAATGGTGATTTTCCATAGTTATGTAAACGTTTACCAGAGGGTACATCCCTAAATATTGCTGTGCTATTGTGAATGAATATCCACATGTTTTTTCGGCACAAAAAATGGCAATGCACATGGATTTCACGAACAAAGAGGTGCATAAAATCAACCATGATAGTTGGATAAAACAAAATGGTATGTAACGGGATACATGTATACCCGACAAACATGTCGGTATGATATACAGATATACAACCAACATTCATGGGCTTGTTGACTATATAACCATAGAGAACCCCAGACAATTGCCAAATCTTACATTCGAACAACTAGGATTTAAGTCGGTTAGCATGCTGAAGTATCTCTAAATATATACATATTATATATATATATACATGTATACACACTTATTCATGTATCTATGTTCTGCGTATCCGTAATGTATATATATATATACATATATACATACATACATATACATATTCACTAGTATATGGAGATATCTTTATGTCTATTTTTGAATCTCCATTTATGGCAAAAGATTGAAGTGATAAACTACTTATCCAAATTTTACCCAGTCATTGATGGGGTTGTTTAGTATGCGCTTGTTCAAAATGATGGTATCTCAAAAATCAATGGTTTAAACCTCTTTTGCCCATTTAAATTTGCCGATAAAATGGGCAGATAACGGACCACGGAGACGAATCTACATTCGTGAAATACCCTACTTGGAGGCTCAATTCTATGGCACAGATTTAATCATTACCTTTGGTTTACGTTGTGATTGTTTGCATAGATCTGAATTACCCCGTCGGAGGAAAACCAACAGCCACAAACCAGGTTATAACACTGGTGTACTTGGGGTTGCGAATGAAACACTAATCATATATATATACATATTATATATATATATAGTTATATATATAATTATATATATATACAATATCAAGTATTCTTATTTTTACCATTTGGTTGATTGATAGATCTTAACTTGCCAAACAAAAAAAGTGTTGGAGTGACAATAAAACGGGAACATCGCAACAGGGTGTTGAGATTGCCCACTCAATTGCTATCCAATGGTGGATGAGTGGAAGGTTGGATCCCCAGCTTCATGGATGCATGGATACCTGTTGTGAACTTTGAAAATTAGTTACCCTCTGGTAAACAGTAAACATAGCTATTGAAAATGACCATTTATAGTGGATTTTCCCATTGAAATGGTGATTTTCCATAGTTATGTAAACGTTTACTAGAGGGTATCTATTTGGCTATGACTTCTAAGATCAATCATGTAGACAGGTCCAGGTCTGTGGGAATTTACCCAGAAAATTGGACTGTGTTCTTTGCTTACAAAGCAAGAAATCAATGGCCATTTCAGGAACCTAAATTGGAGGTACCTACCACAAAATATGGCCTTATATGGTACAGTACCTCCATTTTAGGGTACTGAAATTCCCATTGAAGAAATGCAAATATGAAAACCTATAGAAAACCAACTCTGTCATTCAGTCTTAGCCAATGACTGGAAAATGAATGCCCGTTTGTCCGAGAGTTTAACCGATATTGATATGAGCATTGTCCAGGAAGTCTGGACCTCTCATTGCCTATCACAATCTAATCACTGTTGATATCCTGGCTACCAGTCCGCGTGATGATGTTCGGCCACATCTCTTTCTTAGCCTCCGAAAACAAAAAAAAAAAATATGGAAAGACCACTATTTGTAGAATTTTGTAGATATTTTTCAGGGAAACTATGGATTTTCCATATTTATATGAGTACATAATTTTACGGGAGGGTCGTGGTTGCAAATCCAAGGGGCCGCGACGTCTTCGTTTGGAAACCATTTCATCTGCCCATCCTGCAACAGCTATGCTATGGTTGCGCTGTTAGGCATGCAGGGTTCACCACCTTCACACCTTCAAGATCCGAAGGAAGGCGGAAAGCACTAATTCCGCTAAAAACATCTCCCAGCACAAAATGTACCGAAATTGTCTCACTCTTCTGTTGCCACTAATGAATGTGTTTGGTCCATTCTTGTTGGCGATGCTACAACAGGACGGTAGGTCCAATCGGACCCCGGTCATCGGTCCAGCTGCCCGCTGCATTGCGGGAAAGAGATTCCCATGTCGGTTGGTCATATGACATGCCACATCAGTATCCTTTTTGCATGGTTTATGTGGTTTCAAGTGGGGTCCTTTAAAGCAGTCACAACAGCAAAATAGCAGTTGAAGGATGTTGGAGGGATCAAATATGAGACTTTGATTTTGCTTGTTACTGGGATGCAACCAGCTTGAAAACCATATACCCAGTTGGGTTTCTCAATTTTTGTGAGCCTCATACCTACTGCAAAGCACCAAATTTGTCTACTGTATTTCAACTATTTCTGTTTCAGAACCAATTTGTGTATCAAAAAAACTTTCGGATGTACCCGTTGGACCAAAGCTGTGCTACACTCTCATACATATGTACAATGTGTATGTATATATATATATATTTAATGATATGTGTATATTATAATATATATATATATTCTAATGATATTTATATAGTCTGTGTGTGTAGTGTATGTATATATACACATACACAGTCCAACCCTCCTGGCACCGAGTTGGGAGCCCCCACCAATGGTATCTCCCCCATGCACCCCCCCAATAATACCACTACGGCCTCGCTCTGCCCCTGTTCTGCCTCTGCCCCGCCAACCTATTGCTTATGCTAGCTTCTGAAACAATCTCAAACAATGCCTGGCAATGTGGCATACCCAGTAAACAACCATCCCCAGTAGGATTTTTTTATTGGGTATACTATTTGGGATGATTTAAAATGACCCCGAAATGGTTGATTTATGGGAGGGTTGTTCATTGGGCTTACCGTAATACTAAGCTAGGGTTGTCTTTCCATGCTTGTTATACTTGCGATATAGGTATCCTGTATAGGTATCAGGTACTATCCTACGTACTACCTACTGCTACATACTACCTATAGTCTAGCAAAATACCACCTGCGAACCTACATATTACTTACTACCCATACGCTTGCGGCATACTATGTTCCTGTAAAAATCCATACCCAATTACTTACGGCTACATACCAATCCTGTGACATCCTCACTACTATGCCATAGTCCCGATCAGAATCCTCATACCTGTATACGAATGTGTTGACAAGCTCAATTTGTGCTAAATATGGTTCTTACCCCCTTTTGTTGTTGTTGGTATACTCTTGGTTTAGTGTTCACAACAATGATCCGCAAACATGGGTTACAAACCTTTTACCCATGTTTAACCATCATCATTGTTGGTAAATGCCAAGCAGAAGTCCCACAACAAGACCAATAGAAATTTCACACCAGCAAAACTGGATGACTACATCATGCAAAATCACCTACAGTAAAACTGTGGGCTGGCCGGTCTAAGCCTCGGTACTTTCTTCTGTCTTGAGCAGCACTGGGATACAGGATGATAAAGGCATTGGAAAACACGCATGCTTCAAAGTTTTGAGTCAGTTTTGGGTTTGAAGAATCTACAATTCTTGAATCAACCTACTCGTACAGTAACTCCAGATAATTCAGTGCTTCACAACACTGAAGCAACACCATTTTAGACCGAGGGATGTGCCCCATCCTCTCATGTGATCAAATTCAACTAGATCATTCCATACATATCCCATCACATCCTGTTTCATAAACGATCTTATATGTATGTCCCCCGCTGTTGTTGGTCATATCCGCATTTTTCATGACTAACACTAACACCCTGTTTTCTCGATGGTTTTCTCTGGATTCCCCAAAGTTCAACCCCCCCTTTTCTTCAGGTCACGGGCCCTCCGTGGTCGTCCTGCAGCACCACCTGCGTCTGAACGCCCTGCCGCTGCTGCACCCATCCCAATGCACTGTGGCGCTCGATCTTCACAACGCTATCGGAGCTGAGTGCCTGCGGAGCCTGCGGAGGCAACGCACCGCCTTCATGAGGGACGCCCCTAAAACTTCACGGAAATACATGGAAATATATGGAAATACTATACACATATCTATACATGTTGCAAGAATTCTTTCTTGGGACTTGTTCATTTTCTTTCAAAGTGCGGTCTTCCCTGCAAAAAGCTCGTATTTCTTTGAAAAATAAGTGCTTGAAATATGGAGTGTGTTTTGATAAAAGGCGAAGAGTTTTAAATAAGTGCTCCCAAGTGTCGAATAATCCTTGAAAAAAGTCTTTCTAAGAAATGCAGCCTTTCAAGCCAGTCGTTCTTTTGAAACGTCATACATTTCCCTGCTGCTTTTGACAAACCAATCTTGCACGATGTGCAACCTTCTAAACCAGAACAGTCTACCTTTCAAAATGTTCGGCAATTCTTTTGAGAAAAACATATTCATGCACAATATGCGATGGTTTTTATTCGGCATATAGTCTTTTGAAATGAGTGCTGTCTTCCTTTCTATATAAATGTCGGGCACCCCAGTTGAAAACGCAATATTGTTGAACCAATTGCAGCCTTCTGCAACATTATTTGTTCTCTTGAGCCGGTGCAGTCTTGCATCCAAAGCGTCCAGCACTTCTGTTAAAACTTGAAAAGACTAATTTTTATAAGAAGTTTAATTTTTAAAGCCAGCCGAGTCTTTCTTTGAACATACTGTATCTGCTTCTTCTAGACAGGCAAAATGTTCAGAAAATGTACGAGTGCAGTCTGTCTTTCCAAACACTGTTTTGCTTTTTTGAGAAAAGAAAACCCTGCAGTCTCATACACTCATTTGCCATCACTTGCCCGTATCTTTACATGATACTTAGTGACTCAATGTGTTCCTTACACGGGGACAACAGGATGGAACACCAGAGAATGCAAAAACGAATGCATTCCGCAACCAGGAACCAAGAACCATTTTTTTGCACAGAGAGTCTTGGGGGAATCGATGGTAATCGTGGTTCTTGGTTCCATGGGAGGATGTTTCATGATGTTTCTTTCCCCAAAGAAGGCATTCCTCCATCATGCTAAGTCGACTCTGACAGTACACCAGGCAACTTTCCATGACAGATCTCAAACATACGACTTGCATGTATATAGACATACTATTTACATGGCAGTTGATCCCACTAAAGACGCTAAACAATATGGAAAAGGTAGGTTTTGGAGGGGTTGGAGCGGACCATATATATATATATATATATATACATATGCATATGCATATATGGAACCTCCCAAGCCCTTGGACGCCAAAACTCTACTACCAAACTGGTTGTTATTGTGAAGAGGACTAAACCACAGAGATATTACATATGTATATATATATGTGTGATATGTATGTGTACTAGAGCGTATGGTAATCTTCGGAGGACACTCTAAGTTTGGGTGGCCATGAATCGCAAAAACCAGCATTCTGGAGTGACTTGGATGCTTCCCTTTGCTAAAGTCTTGTGGATTCAATTCCTATCTTTTGATGGTAAGATACCCAGCCATGTTTGTTGAGGCTGTTCATCTCAGGTTTTTCAAGGTAGCCTACCTGAAATGATGCGGAAGGTTCCTAGCAGGCCCTAAACTGAATGAGAATTGGATGATGGGAACATCTACAAGAAAGCCCTCTGTTTTCCTATAGATGTTCCCTTCAGACAAACCATTGATATCCGCCCCGCAGGCGCCTTGTCCGGCGCTGCCGGTTCCACTGCCACTGGAGCGGTGGGCGGCACTTCCACGCGCACCTGGTAGGTCACCAGGACCTGCGGCGGCAACGTTGGAAATCCAGGGGCAATGGAGGATTCCACCAACAAAAGATTGGGTTTGGGCTAATTAGATGACGATTCAGCATGATTCAGCCAACATTTGAGATTTCACCAACAACCTTTGGGTTTCAACCAACCAAAAGATTGGATCTTACCGACAAGACATGAGGATCTGAAGCAACAGTGGGGATTGCAATGAAAGTCTCCATTGATCTAATGAAACCTGGTGGGGATTTATCCTTTGCCCAGATCATGACACAAAGACCCTCCAAGAAACCCTCGGTTGGCCTTGAATCTTTATTTGGGGGCCATATGAAGGGAGTGATACAGTGATACTGATAGGGGGAGTTGTCACCATTAAAAAAAATGTGGTTTAGTTTTACCCATAGAAATTGGAACGGAACCCACATGCAATCGCACAAAAGATGGAATTGACCAGAAAAAGGGATGTAGCTAGCAAAATTTGAATTTGATATAAAACGCATCCTGCAGTTCTGAAGATGACCAACGAGTGGTCCAAACATGTTATTTTTCAATATTTTTCAGCTATCCCACCCCTAAACCTCCCAGCAAAATCAACGACGTAATTCAAACTACAGTTTGAAACCACTTCAGTACAGAACCCATTGTGTTGCAAGAATATGCATCTCATTTTGCTGGTGGGAAACTGGAATAATTAAACCATTTTGGGAGAAATTGGAAACAATTCCCCTTACAAACCATATTTTATAGCAACGTCGGCCAGCGAAGCCGCTACGGTTTACCCGGACCCCCATCCAAAAGCTCTGCACCTTGTCATGAGGTTCTGCCAAAACGGTGAAGCTCGAGGGCGGAAGTCGTAAATCCTGGGATAATACTGGTATCTTCTCGGATGTGCAGGATCCACTTGTGTGTGTGGTTCGGAACCACTTGCGTGCGTGCGTGCCTGCGTGCATGCGTGCGTGTGTGTGTGTGTGGGTGTACCATCTGGATAGATGTAAAATTTCTTATTATTGCAGGTGGCCGCTGGGGAACATTGCAGTCAGCGGCCAACGAAGACGTTGCAATGTTCCTGTGAAAACGTACCTGCAAATATATATATATATATGTATATGTGTATGTATGTATGTATGTATGTATGTATGTATGTATGTATGTATGTATGCATGCATGTATGTATGTATGTATGTATGTAAGTATGTATGTAAGTAAGTATGTATGTATGTATGCATGCATGCATGCATGTATGTAAAACCCCTGGGCGCATCTAAGTCGCAGCCGGGGGGGACATATATTTCATCGTTGTTTTTGTTTACCGTCAACGTCTACTGTGATTATATTTACATATATCTAGGCTCATCTCATCGTGTTATGTTGTGTTGGTGTTTGCGTTCCACGGCAAAATTCGAAACGACAGTTCTGATCAAGTGTGTTACTCATGCGGGTTCGTCAAGGTGACATGAGCCCTTCGGGGAATACCTGTCTAAGTAGCATGTCTGATCCTCCGACTTGATCTCTGAATTTACACTTTTAATCCAGTAATTCGTTTAGGTAGTTGAACAGATGGCCTTTTTCAGCTTTTCACCTATCGGTCGAGTGAGTGTTGAACAGCTGGCCGCAGTGTTGGGCTTTGCTTCTTTACTGGAACCTTGTGCATTTGTAGCCGTCAGCTGCGACAACTTCCTTTTTTCAACGTTGCTCGAGAGAGTGATCAGCTTGTACCAGCATGTGCAACATGAAGGAATTTCCAGGCAGGTTCACGACTTTAGGTGTGGTTTTTTTTTCTCTTCATGGTGTTCAATTGTGCACCAATTCGAAGGGTTGATGAACACTTAAGCCGTCCAGAGGTTGTGACTTGAACTTCGAGGGCCTTGAGCCTTATCACGAATCATGCACAGATTTGTGGACGCATCATTTTTCATTAACTTGTTCCCCATGGGTCCCCTATTTCATGTGTGCTCCCGTGTTAGGTCAGGTTTGGGTCCTTCCCGTGCCGAGGTAGGTTTGGCTCTCGCCTTGTAGGTTGCGTCAGGCGCTTCCGTCCGCCCCCGCCTCCTCTGGTCGGTGGTTGGCCCGTCATCCGTCCGCTTTTTCTTTCCCCTTGCTCTTTCAGGATTTGCCCGTTCTGGGCTAGGTGTGTTGGTGTTGGTGTTCTTCCTTTCCCGTCCTCTTTTGCGTTCCCCGTCTTGTGTTCTGGTTAGGTAGTTTGTCATTTCATGGTCATTTCCATCTCATTTTCTTTTGCATTTCATCCACCCTGCTGCCGCAGGCTGTGTGTGTGTGTATCATCTGAATAGATGTAAAACTTCTTATTATTGCAGGGGGCCGCTGGGGAACATTGCAGTCAGCGGCCAACGAAGACGTTGCAATGTTCCTGTGAAAACGTACCTGCATATATATATATATATGTATGTATGTATGTATGCATGTATGCATGTATGCATGTATGCATGTATGCATGTATGCATGTATGCATCTATGCATGTATGCATGTATGCATGTATGCATGTATGTATGTATGTAAATATGTATGTATGCATGTATGCATGTATGCATGTATGCATGTATGCATGTATGTATGTAAATATGTATGTATGCATGTATGCATGTATGCATGTATGCATGTATGCATGTATGCATGCATGGATTCATGGATGCATGGATGCATGGATGCATGTATGTATGTATGTATGTATGTATGTATGTATGCTGCATGCATGCATGGATGCATGGATGCATGGATGCATGGATGCATGGATGCATGGATGTATGGATGTATGGATGTATGGATGTATGGATGTATGGATGTATGGATGTATGTATGTATAACCCCTGGGCGCATCTAAGTCGCAGCCGGGGGGGCATATATTTCATTGCTGTTGTTTTATACCGTCAACGTCTTTTTTACTGTGATTATATTTACATATATATATATATATAGGCTCCTCTCATCGTGTTATGTTGTTGTGTTGGTGTTTTTTGCGCGTCCGGTGCTTTCCACTGGAAAATTCGAAACGACAGTTCTGATCAAGTGTGCGTGTGTGTGTACATATTTATATATATATATATATACATATGTATGTTTTTATTACTTAATTTGTGCATATAATGGGATATTTCTGAGTGAGGAACAATATATGAGGTAGTGAACGGCTGAGCAACTGGGATCGAAGTTTCATGTTTCAGAAACTACCATGGAAAACGGCGGAGACATATACCCTTGGCTTGTGCCGTTCTGGCAAAGTCGATCTGTACGTGAGATGCACAATAGATGCAAATGATGCAAGACTTTGGAAATGTGATCTATGTAGGATCTCCATTTAGTACGTGTAGAGCTTTAGATGCTAGATGCACACGAAAGGTTACAGTATTTACAGCATGATTCAGCATGTGAATGCATGCAGACCATTTTCCACCCACTTTCAGGCCGATCATGCTTTGGGTGCACTTGACATCGGCTCATCCTGCCGTCTATGGCCTTTATTTCGTGATTTTGTCAAAAAAAAACAGGTATACCCAGCCATAGGTTTCCGTCGGAAACTGAAGTGAGCCTTTTGTCTCGATTCTTCAAGTTCCCCGAACCTTCGGGCATACAAACTAATGGTTTAAGAAAAGATTCCTCAATTTCCCTCCGTTAACGTCATCTTCTGGGAGACTTGCGGTAACCACTATTGAACCACCAAACAGTGATCTTCAACCCCTAAGAATTGCGAAATTTCTGACCTTTGCTGTACTTGGCGCCCAAAACCCTTCCGCGGCCCCCTGTTAGCCGCTCCTGGGTCGTCTCACTCCAAGAGGTCCCGGTGGGCTTCAGTATGTAAAGCCTCAGGGGTGCAGAGGGCCAACATGTTTGAATCGCCGCGGGGAGCTTCATTTAGGCACTAGTGGACCAACAATTGTTGGACAAATACCAAAGGATAGCAACAACTATTTCACAATTCGATAGTCACCCCCCAAATTCTCAGTAATCTTGAAGTAGCTATCTGTAAAACAAGAGTAAAATCGATGTATATTCACCTACAAACATCAGTATTTGATTGGGTTTGATCGAGAAATAACCGAATATGAGTGGTAATCCGCCGGCCTGCCGGCGCGTCTGATTGGAAGGTGTTGTTCTTGTTTCTGTTATTGGTTTGTACTTGTTTGTGTTCTTGGCTTGTACTTGTCCCTTTGTTCTCTTGCTGCGCGTTTTTGCTTCGTCTGAATCAAGGTCACCCCCCTCCCCCCCTCCCCTCCCCCCTTCCTCCAAGTACTACAAGTGAAAGTACAAGAACAAGTACAAGTAGGAGTAGGAGTAGTAGTGGTGGTGGTGGTGGTGGTGGTAGTAGAGTAGTAGTAATAGTAGTAGCAATAGCAGCAGTACTGGTAATAGTAGTTCTTGTTTCTGTTCTTGGTTTGTACTTGTTTCTGTTCATGGCTTGTACTTGTTCCTTTGTTCTCTTGCTGCACGTTTACAAGTACTGGTAGTAGTAGTAGTAGTAGAAGTAGTAGTAGTAGAAGTAGTAAAAGTAGTAGAAGTAGTAGTAGTAGAAGAAGAAGAAGCAGCAGTAGCAATAGTAGTAGTAGTTAGTAGTCAGTAGTCAGTAGTCAGTAGTCAGTAGTCAGTAGTCAGTAGTTAGTAGTTAGTAGTTAGTAAGTAGTAGGTAGTAAGTAGTAAGTAGTAAGTAGTAGTTAGTAGTTAGTAGTTAGTAAGTAGTAAGTAGTAGTTAGTAGTTAGGAGTTAGGAGTTAGTAAGTAGTAGTTAGTAAGTAGTAGTTAGTAAGTAGTAGTTAGTAAGTAGTAGTTAGTAAGTAGTAGTTAGTAGTTAGTAGTTAGTAGTCAGTAGTTGGACCACGGCTTATAGACGGCCGTGGGTTTTGGGGGGTTTTGGGGGGGCTAATAACGTTCTTGGCTGCCCGCCTTACAAGATATTGTCTTGGACTTGCTGCTACGCTATCCACTCTTCTCTTGCACCGTACCCTGGCACACGCTATCAAGTCCTTCTTGTAACTTGCAAGACACTCTTGATTTTTGCATTGTTGTTTCTTGGGGGGGGTTTTGGGGGGGGCTGATAACGTTCTTGGCTGCCCGCCTTACAAGATAATCTCTTGGACTTGCTGCTACGCTATCCACTCTTCTCTTGCACCGTACCCTGGCACACGCACTCTTGATTTTTGCATTG